ATATCGAAGGTGACATGGCCAGCACGCTGCTGGACCAGGGGTCGGATGCTCAGTGAAGTGGTGGTTCCCTCCTTTACAGATTTACTCAATTCTTCTCATTTCGGAGATAAGCAACGTTGTGTCACATGAATGAGCAGAATGCTTCGGAAAATTCCTTTAGATCGAAGTTCTTAAACTTTGGTTGAGATTCTTTCTTCTCTACTTGTACAGAAAAGTTTGGAGTTTTTCAATATTTTAAACAGCTACCTTGAAAGTACGTGTAGGTAATATAACACCTACTATTTTTAAATGCCCACTACCTGCCAAAAACGATGTCTAATGCTATATATACTGCACTTTGTTTAATCTTCACAAAAATCTCAGAAGATACTCCCATTTTAAAGTTGAAGAAACGCATATTCAGAGAGGTTAAGTAATCTGCAAAGCTATTACATGGCCAGAGCACTTCAATTTGAATTTAGAAAATCTGTACTACGAATCTTATATTTAGTATGCAATGCTGTCACTCAAAGAGAGACTGCATCAAATAATTCCTTTCAATTACTTCTAAACTTCGACAAAGAGCACCTCGGTGCAGGCAGGGATGGGTGATCCCGGCCTCAAACGGTCACTGCGAGTCCACCCGTGAGGGACACTTCACTCTGCTTTTATGGAGCCCCCTTCAGGGACAGTGCAGAACTGCTACGGTGCCTTCCTAGAGATTCAAGCTCTAAAAAAAAAAATCATTGCCAAAGAATGGCAGCTCCTCCAGTGACATTCCTAAAAAGACTAGGAAGGATGCATTTTTTCATTTTTTGGCTCTAGAACAGAATCTTGTTAGAAATCCTATCGCTTTCATATAATATGTACATGAGATATACAGATAAAACAAACATACTCATGCACCTACACGCACAATCTCACCCTATCAATAATTAAAAGTCATTCTAATAATTAGAAAATTAAAAAATAATATTATAAAGAATAGCTGCCATTATTAAATGGCAACCGTGCATTTCCAGTAACATCCTCTAAGAGGCAGAATCTGAATGTCAAGAACCATTCTCAGAGGCTCGGAAACGGCCCTTATTGGTACCTGCAGGATGCTGCCCCAGCCTCTGGCCAGTCTGAGAAGTGCAACCTGCCTGCTATGGTGCCAGCAGCTACAGAAGGTTGATTTTGAAATTGCACTTCATCTAGCTCACGGCTGGTCAGTGTTTCTTTGAGACCTGCTTCGGCGCATAGGGACCGCAGCAGTTCTACAGAGAAAACCAGCTTGGGGCTCAGATTCTTCCTTCTAGGATTTCTTATTTGCTACTTAACAATAACGCATGCTGCTGGTCACATCTTCAAGACTTCTCCCATTTTAGTGTGTATCTAGCTAAATTTATTATTACTTTTCATACCTGGTAAAAGAATGTTGTAGTGGGCCTCGGTTTAAAAGTTAACTAAGTGATCCGTTTAAGAACATGTTTTCAACTTTAATAAGTAATTTAACTTATTAAGCCCTAAATTTTGTCACTTTATAATGAAGTTAGATTTGTATTGGAGCCCAAATTAGTAAAGCTTCAAGACTTACGTGGAAGAGTTCTGGAATGACTGCCACGTGCTTTCTCTGTTCTATGTGGAATTGTATCACTATCTAACGAAAGACTGAGGATTCCTGTATGAAATGTCTTCTAAGATTTTTTTTCTTGCCTGTTTAAAATAATTCATCGTCTACTTAACTAAAAGATAATCTAGCAATATTGTTATAATATAGCAATAATATTCCCTCTACTCTTTTCAAAACTATTACTCCTAAAAAAAACTTCACAAAAATAATACTTATTAAAGGTGACTGATATTTCAACCTTCTAAAAATTAAAATTTAATGGAATAGAATGTATGCTCTAAAATAGCTTTAGGACGATAGAAACATTCACCAAAAATCAAAGTGTTTTAAGTCCCAGAAGATTATTTAACACTTCCTAGCTTAAAAATGATTAAAATAAGATTTTTTTTTTAAGTATAGGAATATACAAGTTTATAGTGCTCTATTACATAAAGCTTTTAAGGAAATATCTGAAAAAGATGAACCAAACTGAGTTGTAAATACTTACTTGTAAATGGGTAATAACTCATGTCTTTTGATGGCACTGTCTGATTTTGTATCACTGTCATACAACCTTTGCATATGTCTTCCAGTTCGAAGTGGAGGGCCTAAATTGTCCATCTTACTATTAAAATATATAAAGGGGCACCCATAAGGAGATTGCTACCATTTGTTTCTTCATATATATATATATAAAATGTTTTTAAAGACATTATTCTGGTTCATCAGAAAAGTACCCAAGCTCTTAATTATCTGACTGTCAGGGTTAGGAGCAATGCCTAAAAGAACCCTCAGATAGTTCATGCGATGCCCACTATTAGATACGAACATTCTCTCTATGCAGGCCGCCTTATCCGTTCTGATGAACATCCAAACAAATGCCCCATTTATACAGAACAGGGCAGTGGAATCAACGAAGACACTTAAAACTATTGTTTCAAGTAAAATTTGTGAAGCTAGCAGTGAACTGAAAGTCATTGTTCTAGTAAATAAGGCAGATGGGAGGCCTGTCTTTATGGTGTTCTTGAGTAATCTCACTGTTTCCAGTCCCTGAATTCACAGACCCTTCCCCTTTTTCTTCTTTATTATTTTATCATTTCCCCTGTACTTTAAAATTCCAAATATAAAATAAGAAATCAAATGAATATTTATATCTTTACTCCATTTGACTTTCTAACAAAGAATAACTATTTCTGAAATCTATCCAGGGAAAAGTAAAACAAGATCCTATGTAAAAAAACACAGTCATCGTGAAAAATAACGTGTAAAAATGCTACTGGCCATGCCAAAAGTGTAAAGGATATCCATCCAGAGGTTGATACAAGAATTGCTGGTCTGTAGATACTTCACTGTTTTACATCAGCCAAATAATTGAATCATATATACTATCACCAACCCATATACACTCATGGTAGGGAACAGGGAAAATTATGAAATTAGGAGAACTATTTTAAATGACTACTGAATAACATATCACTGCTCGTTAACTCTAAAACTACACTCTTTTTAAGGGATGCTTATTTGCTTGTTCCACTTATTCACTGACTGTATAAATCCTGAGCATCTCTATGTGTCAGGCACTGTGCTACTTTCTGGCGATATACTGGTAAATAAGAGAGGCTTGATGCTTGTTCTTATTGAGTTTAGAATCTAAAAAGAATCCGTTCATTTCTCTAGGTTATAAGGGTCTTTAAGGAGGGGCACATTTTATCCATTTTTATGTTCTTTTAGTATCCTGTAGAGAGCAGGCATTTTTTTTGTAAACGTTGATACTAATATTTTGCAGGTGGTGATGTTCACATTTAAAACGTTTTAAAGTTTAAAAAATGCCTTCATTAAATATATATATTAAACAATTTCTAAAATGTTTGAGATTAAATCTTATGGTTCATTTTATTTCTGAAAGATAACTGGAAAAGTCGACTTTTTGGAATTTAAACAAGTCAGATTTTTCTTTGAATTGTTTAACCATTAGCAAAACATTATTATTCAAATTGTTATTTGAACAAAACAAATCTGTGAATTTGAAATAAGGAATAAAATATTTTATTTTCTTCCTCAGAAAGTTACTAAAATTATAATTTCGAAAATTTTAAGCTACATTTTTAAGAAAGATTCCTCTGACGTGATAAGAACTACTCAAATCTTACATATGATACAACAAAGTTCATATTTGAAAAGGAGATATGTAAAACCTAATAAAAATCTAAAGGTAATTATCTAATGAGAATATTCCATATATTCTATGAGAGGATGACCAGCATTTTCAGCTTTTGAAAATCTAATTGAAAGGCGGGTTCCCATGACGATATATAGTGCCATATAACTGTTATAAATTGAACTCAATTGATCTACCTAGCTACCTATGTGTATGTATGTATGTATGTGTGCATATATGTATATGTATATGTATATGTATATCTATACATCTATATATGTAGATATCTATAAATATACAAGCATTCAAACGTTACTTAGGCTAAACGGAAATAAATGTCATTCGTAAACTAAAAATCACTTAAATTTATGTTCTTCTATAATTTGATACTTTATACTATGCCAATATCAAAGTATAACCAAAACTAAATTTATAAATCTCAATAATACAGTCAAGATTTTACATGTATATATTTATATATTTATAAATCTTGACTACACATATATTTTTAAATAGCATGTAATAAAAGTCAGTTTTGGGGTAATTAAATATAAACACTTGTAGGAAAGTCCAATACATGGCGTGCAAAAGCTTCAAAGAATGTGTATGTATGTATGTATGTGTGCATATATGTATATGTATATGTATATGTATATCTATACATCTATATATGTAGATATCTATAAATATACAAGCATTCAAACGTTACTTAGGCTAAACGGAAATAAATGTCATTCGTAAACTAAAAATCACTTAAATTTATGTTCTTCTATAATTTGCTACTTTATACTATGCCAATATCAAAGGATAACCAAAACTAAATTTATAAATCTCAATAATATAGTCAAGATTTTACATGTATATATTTATATATTTATAAATCTTGACTACACATATATTTTTAAATAGCATGTAATAAAAGTCAGTTTGGGGGTAATTAAATAAATTTTAAAAATATTAGTTTATGAAAGAAGAACTTTCAAATACTTAAATCTTTTCCTAAACAACCTAGATCACGGATGTGGCAGATCGTTTCTCATGTACCATCTTCACATTTATTTTAGTGAACATAAATGCTACCTTCCCACGTCTCCTTTTTATTAAACTTTATTTCTGTGCCTCAACCTCTAGTAGCACTAAAGATAAGTTAAAGCAGCAAAAAGATCAAGGGAAATTTGGAAAAAAACTGAAATCTTTGCAAAAGTGGTGATTTTACCAAAAAGAATTTAAGGCTTCGACCCAACTGACTGCTCTTTGGTTGACGTTTCTTCTCTGTCTTAGCCTTGCAAACTGTCAGTTAAGGAAGTGAATAAAATGAATACAGAAACCAGGAAGCCTGCGTCTACTATGTGTTTTGCTTTGATCTCAAGTGCCCTTAGATGTTTCAAGTTATGAAAAAAATGCACGTCTGCTGATTTTCATATTGAATTCATCCATCATCTACACCTGGGGTTACTTTGAGAATCAATAAATGTTGGGAAAGTAGAATGACAAGTCGACTGCATTATATGTTTTTTAATTATTTACAAAGTTGGAGGAATATAATTTCACTGTGGTAGTACCCCATTATGGAACTATCAATATCTACGCTTTTAGAGTGCTTTAATGCCATATCTCTTAAAGGCTCCAATTCAGTAATGACAATTGTTATACACTCAAGGTCTGAAAGAAATTAAGGCAGGAATAAACAAATCCATTCATCAGAAAAAGTCCTGCTGCTGCTAATGGAAAGGAAGGAGGATGTTTTGAAGCTAACCAAGCACACCCTCATAGCAGGCATTTGGTGCAGACAGAATTTCAAACCGATGTAACATTCAAGAGCATGTCCTTCTAGGAAAGATTTGGCTGGAGTCGACATGAAAGTGTTTTTTTAAGCCCTCGCTGTTCTTTCCATTCAGCCACAGAAATGTGTCGGAAGAATAAAAGTTAAAAAACCGCATTGGTTCCAGGGAACATTAATCTGTGGTCAAAGTTCCTAGGGAGCCCACATGGCTTAAAAAATAACAGTTCCATCTTTGGGAGTAAATGAAGAATCCTTAAAACCCTTATCTTCAAATTATAAATAACTAATTCCTACAATAATTAACTTATTCCCAAAGAGTGAGTGGACAACTTTCTCTGTAAAGGGCCAGACAGTAAGTATTTCAGGCTCTGCGGGCTATAGAGTGTCTCTGTCACAAATACTCCACTGTGTCATTGCAGCACGAAGGCAGCTAAGGACAATGCAAAGCAACTGGGCGTGGCCACATTCCAATAAAAAACGGGTGTTGAGCAGGATTTGGCCCTCAGCCCATGATTCAAAAACATCACCTGCTCTAAAACATCAAAATTTCTTCTATGAGAGGATGTTAGTATTTTAAGATTTTGAAAAATCTAAATGAAAAGCAGATTTCAACGATGATTTATTTTACCATATATTAAAAGATTATGATAAATATCACTACATTATCTTGTGTTCCTTAATGAAAACATATTACTTTTTGTCAAGGTAACACATTTCTACAGATGATGAACACTTCTACTTTGACCAAGAATTTTTAATTTAAAATGATATCTGCAGTTGCATGTGACTTCTATGATACGAGTAGTGTATGTAGAGAGATAATATTTTGGTGGATTTTCAAAATATTTATAGCTGAATGCACATTTTTAGAAATATTTGGCAATAATATCAACCTATTTCTAATGTGAAATTTATTTATCGAAGGTCCTTGCTGATACCATGAGAGCGAATTCTCTTAAGAAAAAAGCCACTCAGTCTTGTAAAACTGTAGCAAGCCCAGCAGATAGAGATATAATTAAAAGATGACTTCTGAAGTAATGCTGGGAAAAAGTTTACCAGGTGATATTCTGTATCCTTCTAGACCTCTATCATCACCATGTTCTGAGGCACTTTAATGTCTCCTACTTCCACTTTTGATTCTAAACTTATCAATCTTATGCAGATAATTTAGTCTATAATTCCATGGAAAAGTCATCTGCCCTAATCCAATGGTCAATCATCATTATCCACATAAGAAGCCAAACTCTGTGTTTCCAGGTTGTGTTAGGTATTTCTAGATCAATAATAAAAGACGGAGAAGTTCATAAAAATCTAATGTTCCACAGAAATATAATTCACATCCACCAAAAGATTGGCTAATGATGAAAGCCTGTTTCTATTCATATGACATGTATTTAAAAACTAGGTATTTATTTCTTACTGTTGTTAATATAAAGTATGAGAAACCAAATTCAATTTTTGTATTAAGAAATGCTCCTTATATGCATTCTGTTGCTCCAAAGTAAACTTCTGTTTTCCTAGTAACTGAACAGAAGTAAAGCTCTGAAATTTGATAATTCAGCTATTCAAAATTAGCAGCTGAAATATCCACTTAAGCTGGTAATTAACCATTAAGAAAACACAATTTTCAAGGCATGACTATGTAAACTTTGTGACACAATTCAAATGTGGCAATATTTATTTAAAAGCTCTGTGTTGCATCATAATTCTAAAATCTCCTAGGATTAAAGATAATCATCTTTTAGAATATGGGGAAAAATTCCACTGGGTTTCTGTGTATTAGGCAGGGCTGCTGTGTCTCACGGTCTTAGCAGAGTGGCCTCATGCAGTAGGTGTCCTCTGGGGCTCAGTGGTGCAATCTCTCTGGTCACCTGAGCCACACCAAGATACACAGTAATGAAAATGCCAAAGGTTAAAGACAGAGAGAATCTTATAAGCTTCTGTTCTGCTTAAAAAAAAAAATCTGTTAAAATCGGTCGGACCACAGGATGTCTAAAGGTTAGTTTTCAAACATGAGAATTTTCCCAAGTGCAAAGATGAATTTTTCTGTGGTATGACTCCAAAATATGCTAAAGATTACATGCCACTAGTATGCAAGATTAAAGCTGACCACAACAAAGGTTATGTATACATAACCTTTAAACAATCCCAAGTCACATTTTAAAATTACTCCATTTTACTAATCTCAGCAGATGCTCAATTTCTTGAACATTTCAGCTAACCAGATGTCTTATATCCTTTAATCTATCCTGAATCGTCTGTGTCAATGGAAATAATAGCTTCCATACAAACTTCACATATTTATTCCATCAGCCCAGAACCATGATTCTATCATGTGTCAACAGGTTGACAAACAAGGGATTGAATTTATTAATTCATTACTTTTCTCATTATTTGTCAAAAATTTATTGTGTGCTCACAACCCACACAAGGGACACACCTGGAGCACCTGGCTCAGGTGACCAGAGAGATTGCGCCACTGGGCCCCAGAGGACACCTACTACATGAGGCCACTCTGCTAAGACTGGGAGACACGGCAGCCCTACCTAATACACAGAAACCCAGGGAGGCAGCCAAAATGTGGCTGCAAGGAAAAATGTCCCAAATGAAAGAGAACAACGCTTCAGAAAAAGAACTAAACAAAATGGAGATACGCAGATGCGGAGTTCAAAACACTGGTTATAAGGATGTTCAAGGATATCAGCGAGAATTTCAACAAAGAGACAGGAAACATAAAAATGGAGATGGAGAACATAACAAAGAACCAGTCAGAAGAGAACACAATCACTGAAATAAAGACTGCATTAGCAGGACTCAAGAGCAGATTAGAGAAGCAGAGGGCTGAATCAGCGGTTTGGAAGATAAGGTAGCAGAAAACACCCAATCAGAACAGCAACGAGAAAAAAGAACCCTAAAAAATGAAGATAGTGTAAGGGGCCTCTGGGACAACATCAAGCACACCTACATCACGTCATAAAGGGACACCAGAAGGAAAAGAGTGAGAGCAAGGAATGAAACACCTTTTTGAAGAAATAATGACAGAAAACCTCCCTAACCTGGTGAAGGAAATAAGACATACGAACCCAGGGAAGTGCAGAGAGTCCTGATCAAGATGAATCCAAAGAGACCCACACGAAGATACATAATAATGAAAATGCCAAAGGTTAAAGACAGAGAGAATCTTAGAAGCAGCAAGAGAAAAGCAATTAATTACCTACAAGGGAGCTCCCATAAGACTGTCAGCTGATTTCTCAACAGAAATTTTGCAGGCCAGAAGGGATTGGCACAAAATATGCAAAATGATGAAAAGCAAGGACCTACAACCAAGATTAATCCATCCAGTAAAGCTATCATTCAGAAATGAAGGATAAGAACTTCTCAGACAAGAAAAAGCTAAAGAAGTTCACCACCAACACATCAGTACTACAAGAAATTTTAAGAGACTTCTTTAAGAAGAAAAAAAAGACAAAAAGTATGAATAACAAAATGGCAATGACTACATATTTATTAACAATTACTTTAACTGTAAATTGATTAAATGTTCCACTAAAAAGAGGGAATGGCTAAGAAAACAAGATCATTCCATATACTGCATACAGGGGACTCACTTCAGACCCAAGACACACAGAGTCTGAAAGCAAAGGAATGGAAGACAGTTCATGAAAATGAAAGTGAACAAAGAAAAGCAGGGGAAGCAATACTTACACCAGGCAAAAAAAAGATTTTAAAACAAAGGCTATAACAAGACACAAAGAAGGACCCGGTATGCCCACTTCTCGGTATTTATCAGAAGAAACCCAAAACACTAATTTGAAAAGACATATGCTTCCATATGTTCCTTGCATAATCTACAATAGCCAAGACATGGAAGCAATCTAAGTGTCCATCAATAGATGACTGGATAAAGAAGAAATGGTACACATATACAATGAAATATTACTCAGCTAAAAAAAGAAGGAAATCCTGACGTCTGCAATGACATGGATGGACCTAGAGGGTATCATGCTAAGTAAAATTCGTCAGACAGGGAAAGACACAAGCACATGATTTCACTTATATGTGGAATCTAAAAAAACAAAATATATGAACACGCAAAGCAAACACATAGATAGATACAGGGGACAAACTGATGGTTGCCGGATAGGAGAGGGGATTGGGGAATGGGGGAGAAAGGGGAAGGGAGTAAGAAGTACAAACTGTTAGTTACAAAGCAGTCGTGGGGATGTAAAGTACAGCACAGGGAATATAGTCAATAATATTGTAACAACTATATACTGTAAGAACATGGATACTAGATTTATCTGGGTGATGACTTCCCAAGTTACGTAAATGTCTAATCACTGTTTTGTACTCCAGAAACTAATATAATATTGTACGTCGATTATTACTAAAAAAAAACAAATTATTTTTAAAAATGCACTGTGTGTCTCTGCTGCTGGGCTTTATACCACATTCTCTGGTTACATCTGTGAGCCAGGCAGACACTGGGCTTTCATTATGGCACGGGAAACACAAACAGATCGCTGCCTCGATAACTAAAAAAAGGAATGGAGTCTGCCACTAGACAGACCGTCGTGAATGGTTCTATTGAACACAGTGATATAGTAATGTTCCAGCTAGTAGGGTCATAAGTTAGCCAGAAACAAACGCCATCACTCTCTTCCTACTGGCTGGAAACATTCCTCTAACATGCGAGGATCACGTACAAATGGACAATCGGGATTTGAACAGTTATGCTTGACGATTTAACATGATGTGGGAGAATCTGTAAGATTTCGTGCTAGAAAATCTTTGTTGTTAGTACAAACAGATTTTCTCCTAGGGACCGTGTAAATGTTAATCAGATTTTCTTAGATCAGTTGTCAAGGTCTAAGCAGAGTCACAGAATGCTGTCAGAGTGAGACGCAGGAAAGAGGCATGCACAAAGTGATACAGCTCTTCAGTGGCACAGTAGGTCCTAGAAGCCTAGTTCTCTGATGCAAACTCTTTTTGATGATACCAGCCAGCTTCACACGCCCTGTTTAAGAATGCTGGGAGTCAGTACAACCTAATATTGCCAACTGATAAAATTCCCAGTATGATACGAAAGATACCGAAAATATCAGCTTTTAATTCATAATCGACTGTAAATGAAACTATAAATAACACTACAAACAAATACTATGAACCAAAATGGAAGGCAATTCTCTGCGATATGGGTAAAAAGGCTTTGTAACGTTAAAACACACGTGGTTATGTCTATATTTAAGTCAACCGAGTGGAGAAGAAAAAAACAATCAAGTCAGGTTTTACCTCGGGAAGATGAGAACCTTTTACCTTTCAACCACCTGTTCTCCTGATAACCTCTCTTTCTTAAGGATAGCCTGTCTCTTCTTTTTGGAAGCACACCAAAAACAAAAAACACTTAACTAATCAGATCTTGTTAGCCGATTTTTTTTTCTTTTTCTAGAATACTTAAATTCCTTTTAGCTTCTGCATTTTCTACATAGTCCAAATTAGAAAGCAAAAAGCAATTACACTTATTTGATATAAACCCTCGTATATATTTCCTACATAAATAAAAGTTAAAGTAATAACCTATATCTGAAAATAATGTGTGCTATATTTTTAAATCAACTTTATCAGTATTTCTAAAGTTATAGACATAATCCCTCATTCTAAAGGTTATGTAGTAATTCTTAATTTTCTGAAATCAAAATGGCAGAGAAAGTGGGTTTCTACTGGAATAGGAGGCCTTCTACTAAAGTCTCTAATATCATCAACAATTTTCCTATAGGAAAGTCATTGTTGAAAGCTTAATTATGTTACTTTACTGAAAGCCATGTATATAAAACTATAGAAAGATAAAAGGTAGTTAGTATTAAATACAAGGAAAAAAGTCACCCACTGTTACTATTTCAGCACATTTTTGCTTACACATATTTTTCCAGTTTCTATCAGAGTAAACATAGAGTTTGTATCCTATATTCCTCTTGGTATAGCAGAATCATCCTATTAAAATTTATAAATATTTTATGCTTGCATAATAACCTTCTGTAGATTTTCAAAATCTGCTCTTCAAACAAAGCTAGACATATTTAGGTGATTTTATATTTTTTACATTGTAATAAAAACACATGAAAAGTGACCAATGTTTAGAGCTACTGATAGCCCAATTTGTATCCTGTTTCCAACTCTGAACAGCTGTGTTGCTTTGAGCAAATTACTTTGCTTTTGAATCTCCCATCATATGGTAGTGGGATGACTTTAATAAAAATACATGTAAAATGTCTAGCACAGTGCCTGATACATAATGCTTAATAAATTACGGTTATTGCAAAACTCTTCCGTATTTCAAATAATTTCCTTAGACTAGATTCCTAGAGTAAAATTATTCGATCAAAAATCTAGATTTTTTTAAGACTCCTGATAAATGCCACCAGATTGTCTTTCAATATGGTCATACTAATTTAGACCCTCGATAGCAGTGATTGTGGTTCTGATCTGCAATATGTTAAAGAGGCAAATGAACTTAGAAAAAAAATTAAGGTTAATGAAAAAGCCAATTATCTAAGCAAAATAAAACCTTAGTGTCATATAGATGGATAGATAGCTAATAAATTAAGTTCGGCGTAGACTTACCCTGCGTGGGGGGCTGCTACCCCCTTATGAGAGGGCGATGAGGTCTGAAGTTTGCTTCCCAAAGGGCCGCTAACGGAAGACGCTTTACCTGAAGGCGCACCTTGCGATAAAAACAGTATCAGTGTTAATGACGCTCTGAAAAGAATATCGCATAAAACAGAGCCTCCGACAAGGAAAATGATGCTTTAACGGCAATAAATCTTAGTGGCAATAAATCAAAACAAGTTATTTTTTTAAAAAATGAAATTTCCAGAGAATAACATATAGCATCCTTCATTTCTAATTTCTATATTTCTTTCTTACAATTTACATACAAATAAAGGTATACTTTGCTGGTCGACATCTTCTTCAAGCCATTAGTCATTTGTCTATTAAGGACAACTATCAAGTTCAGACATAGGCAGAAATGAGAGAAAAATACTCTGGTCAAAGAATCAAGACAAGAACATGGTCAACTACTCTGAACAGATGCTATATCAATAATCACACCAAGGACAAAGCTTTAAGCCAAAAAAAATAAAAAAATAAATAAACAAAGGACTAGAAAATACCTAAAGTAGAAGCTACTGAAAGTTACTTTATTTTTACCCCCAAATAATTACTTATGCTCTCCATCCCTTGCTAATTATAAATCTATTTTAATGATACAGAATAAAACACTATCTTCATTTCCTTCTTTACCAACGCTATGACAAAAAAAAAAAAGGAAGAAAGAAAGAAAAAAAGAAAGAATAGTGATTTTATGGATCTCATTACCTACAATGGTCTTGCTAATGGCACTTGGTTGTGGTAACCGTGACGATCCTGACGCCGTGCCAGGAGAATTTGACTTTTTAAGTGCAGGCGGCTTATACTAAAATAAAGAAAAGAAAATGTTTTATCAACTTCGTTTTTGATTAGGGGTTATAAACTAGTATTTCAAAAGCTCACATTCCCTGAAATGAGCAATCTTTTTACTAGCTACTGAGTCAGCCACGTCGAGAAAGCGTGGATTAAAATGTGTCACCTTAGAGAGGTTTCCCAAAACGTGCTCCCTTTCAAAACTGGTGTGCTAAAATTTGGCTCAGAGGTTCCACTGCTCAAATAAACTAGGAGCACCTTTTCCCAGCTCACAGTGGGAGAAACGGTTTCATGGAAAGTATTTCCTCAGTGTTAGATTTTAAATGCCAAGCAAGGATTAACAGAAAGACTTAGAAACGCCCAATGATGCTTACTTGGTAGGACAGCACTAAAGGTCATGATTTTTACATGTTCTCACAGGTGTTTTTATATTTCATGTACATAATCCAGCCATATTTCCTGATAAAAATTCTTAAGAGTATATATCAGTCTGGACAAGTTTTACAACAGCTGCCTTTTAGATTTCCCCAATGTGAAGAGAGACAGCTATTAAGTAAGACTCATGCGCCTCGGGTCCAGCCCATGTTCCAACTGTAGGGTGGTTCCTGTACTTACACGTGAACTTGAGATTTGGCTTACTGCATTATTTAAACTGCTTAGGATTTTATGTGAAAATTGGTCTTAAACCTAATATTCAAAAATCAAATCATATTTTATACCAATAATCATAATAAAATTTAAGATGCACTACTACTAAAAAGCTGCTGGCTAAACACAAACGTTAAAGTCAAACATCATAACCTTTGGAAATTCAGTATGCGATCTTAAAAAAAAAAATCTTGACACACGCACTCAAACAGCATGCATGTCTGGAACTATTATTCCAGAACCTCAAATTTAAAAGCCCTCAGCGAATAGAAAACCATCAATAACTGTCACATGAACAAATGACTAGAAGACTTAGGAGATGAGCCACATAAAAACAGCTGCTTTGAACACCTAAGAGGTGTTTCTGGTTTAAAAGGACATCTGTTAGCATCAGTCTCCCCCATTAAAATATCAACAAAGACATTAGGAAAGGTATTAAAACTAAAAACAATATGGAAAACAAGACCCAACAGAGACTCCTCAAAATATCAGACATGTCTACTAAAAACAGGGTCCATAAAACTGGGTTAAGAAACAGAATTGATGATGCACGCATCTGTGCTACGTGCCAAAGACGAGCAAAATTACCAGCATGGACAAAGGGCGCTGCCATAGCACGTAACCCACCGAGACGCCAAGTCTCAACAGGGACCTGGTAGCATTTCGTACCGGGGACTAAGATTTTTATGTACGTAACGAAACGTATTATTATTAACTTTGTGGCTTACAAATAGAAAGAAGCAGAACATTCCTTTCAATAAGGAAAATTTCCCCGCTCTATATATTAGGCCTCCTATCATTTGACTCAATTTTATCGTCAGGTTTCCTAGCTGTCCAGAACCTAGCACCTTTTCTTTTTGAACCAGCCAGGTTAGTTTCCCTACTGAATCCACACACCACTCTGAATGCCTCTTGTTTAAAACATGTTCACTTGCCTCTCAGTAACCGGCTGTCCCCCTGACCTAGATAATCTGACCCCTTCCTTACTGAGCTGCATCTCGTCTCTTCTACGACATGAAAACATTCAGGACTTATGTGACTTTCAAACATGGATTTTATCACCATTTTCTCACACTTCTAATTCCTCTGGTTTCCTCTGAATCTGCTTAACCTATTTTTAACTTACTTTCTTACTTTTTTCCCGAACACCTCTTTAAATCTGTATAATTTCAAGTCTCTACTAACTCAAGTCCATTTCATATTAAAGTTTTCAATTAGCCATTCAAATTGCTTACTAAATCCCTGAACAGTAAGATAAAAATTTTTGCAGGTGAGAAAACTGTACTTAAATATTCTGTAAAGCATAAAACCGAAACAGTGAACTTGAAAAGTCATTTTCTCGTTTGTTTGTAGAAATGAGTAAGTTGAGCATTTCACCTGTGGCCGAGAGGTCACTTTTCCTTTGGTATCAGTAGAAAATTTGCCTTTATTACTAATACGTGCTGCCTGTTCTTTACAGAAATTTATATGTCTATCAGCTGCATTTTCATTAAATCTCCTCTGGCAATACGGACACTGAATATAATCTAAAATAGAAAAAAGAAACAGATTAATAACATAATACTTGAAATGAGACATAAGGGATTCTAAATTTTTATGAACGTTAATTCACCATGTAAGCATAAGTAACAACATTTGATAAGCAAAAACCCTCGTTTCCTTATAATCACCCGACCTGACTTATCTAAACTTAGTAAAGACATTTCAGAAAAAAGTCTGCTAGTATATAATAAACTCCGATTTTCTTCCCACTTAGAATCAAATTTGAGAGGGAAGAAGACCAACAGATAAATCCTAAGTACAAAAAATGAATAAGTAGAGGAAAAATGTTATTTCTTTTTTGCCTCTATAATGCCATGTTTTCATCATATATATATATTTTTATATGGTTAACTAGTTAAGCAGTATTAACTCAATACATTAAAAATGTATTTTAAAATTTAGAATATGTTAAAACCTTTACTTCAATTAGAGGAAAACTGTCCAGAAATAGTTTAATCAACTTTACACAGTTTTATTTTCCTGTAGAGGTTCTATCAGATGAAAGAAGTGATAAGAACATACCTCATTAACATAGTTAATTCAAATTTAAAAGCAAATGTTTCCTCGATAAAATATTCTAAAGTTCAATTTATAGTGCATAAAATTTTTTTTTAAATTAAATCTCTGAATTACCAAATTTTGTAGCATTTTGTAGCACTGTAAAAGATCTCAACTTTTAGAGACACTGAGAAGACATGAATATAAAAATTTATCAGTATCAAAAAAAATCTGAATTTATTTCAACGTGTTTATTTTTTGAGAGGGAGTCTGTCCTTTAGAATTTATACTCATCTGAAGCTCAAATATTTGTTATGCTAATTAATTAGTGGTTAAGTCTAAAATTTCTAATAAGAAAGTTGTTTTACTCTGAGAGATTAAAAAATTTCTAAAGCCCAAATTATCCTGAAAAACGGGCACTCTCACTGACTTATGTAAACATGAAAAATAGTTATGTTAGATAAGACGTAACATATAAATACCTCCGAAACAGAGAGAAAATTCAACTTCATGGGGAAAAGTAAGGGAGAGTTAGAAGAGCCCCAAACCCAGTCGGGACATCCCCAAGACATTCACGGCATTACATTTAATTAATCTAGTACAGGAGTTGGCAAACTAGGGCCCCTGGGCCAAATCCAGACTGCCTGCGGCCTGTTTTCACAAATAAAGTTTTATTGGAATACAGCAATGCCGTTCATTTACATAACTGTGGCTGATATCTTCCAGCAGAGGCATAACTATGGCTGGTATCTTCCAGCAGAGGCAGAGTTGCATAGTTACAAAAGAGAAAGACTCTGGCTTGCAAAGCGTAAGCTATTTACTCCCTGACCCTTTATAGAAATAGTTTGTCAACTTCTCTACAATAAAATGTCAAAAATTATCATACCTGGATTTCCTAAAGGAATTTCTCTTTACTAAGAAATAAGTCTCAATGTAGAATACTACCGCAATTTTAATGTGGCTAACTTTTTACATTAAAATAACTGTCTCTTTAGGCCACTCTAATAACCAATGACAAAGTGTCGACTGTGCTACTTTAAATCTTTCAGTGTCTTAATATCACGTATGGTGTTGCCAGCATCCTGCCTTGCTCTTGTTAACAGTGACAAGCAACTTTTATCTACCCGAGAAAGAAAATATAATACATGAGCTTAGGGCATAATTTAGGTATATCAGTCCATATGGTAGCTGCCTACGTGAACTGTACATTTTAGAAGCAATATTATTTTTTTCCTTTCTGGATGATAAGATTCCAAAGATCTGGGCATCGTAACTCTGAATTTTACTGACTGAGTACATTTCAACCCACAATGAGCATGATTAAAATAAGTCCTGAAATACTAACACTTAAAAGTTACTCTAATGATGTAATAAACGGTATTATAATGCTGTTTAAATAAAAGTATTGAGCTAAAAAGATAATGCATTTCTACGTTCCACACTGATGTGTCTTAATCAGTCTAAATGCCTGGAATATCACGATTATTTTGCAGCAAAGCTTTTGAAGATTATACTTCATCAGATTCCATTATTATGAATTAAGTTTAGTAACAACTTAAAATTTCCGTCAACAACCCTCCACATACCGGGGTCATAAGAAGGTGGGGGAGGAGGAGGAAGCCGGCCCCCCTCTTTAAGCGCCTGATCAAGGCCTTTAGCGGCTCTTATGGTGGCAATGAATTCTTCATGTTTTCTTCTCCAGTTAGATGGTTTCTTTGGTGGTTCAGGCTATAAATAAAGAAAAATAGTTTCAGAACTTCTTTTTGAAATAAATTGAGATAAAACTTGAGGAAATGCCATATATATTACTTTAAATGTTCTCTTATCAGGTGCCCTTAAATGGTCTCCTTCCAAAATTTACAATTACAAAAAAAAAACAAAAAACAAAAAAACTTTATGCAACTATATTATATGTTTTTAAAATGCAATCGCAATTGTGATAGACACTGCTAAATCGAGTTCTGTAGGTATTACACACATTTAAGCTCCCACTAAGAGTGTATTTCCCAGTTTTCCCATAGTTTCTTCAACGAAGCATATTATCAAACTTTTGGGTTTTTAATTGAAGAGAAAGGTGAAAAACAGTTCTCTATGGTTTTAACTGGCTTTTCTCTTACAATGAAAGAAATTGAGCATCTTTTCATAACATTAAGAATCATTCGTATTGCCTTTTCTGTGAAGTGCTTATATGTCTGGTCAACTTATCTGTTGGGATACTGGTCTTTTTTTTCTTTAAACAATTTCCAGTCACTCTTTAGAGGAGATTAGCCCCAGTCCTCCACAAAAACTATGTCTGTCTTTTGACCTTATGTAAGGGTCTTCTGATATAAAGAATTACTTTTTAAATGTAGTTTAATCTATAAATCTTTATTGTTCTCTAGATCTGTAGTCACAGTCAGCAAAGTCCAATCTCACACCAGAGTAAATGAAAATCTTCCATGTTTCCACCTATTACTTTAGTGGCTTCATTAAAAAAAAAATGTGAATCTCGCTCATTTGGAATTCATCGCAATGTTCGGAGTCACATACGGATTCAACTTCGTTTTCTGTTTAACACGGCTCTGCAGCTGCCTCGCCATCTCATCCTTCATGGGCTTTTCTCTCACTAAGCTGGGATATCAAGTTATCATGTTCTCTTTTGTATTTGAACTTATTTTTGAACTTCCTTTTTGTTCCATTATTGTGACTGTATCAGTGTTTTAAATATTGACACTTTTTAATAATATTTAATATCTGGTAGGGTAACCTCCTTCATTCTGCTTCTTTTACAAACTTTTCTGGTTATTCTTGTATGTATATCTTACCAGAGAAACTTTAGAATCGGCTAGTCTAATTTTTTTTTAACTGGAAACCATATTTTAACAGGAAAAACTAAACATTATAGTCACAAATGACTTAAGGAACTTAAATCTTTATTATGCTAAGTATACTCATTCAAGAATATGAGATATATTTCCATTTGAAGAAGCGTTTGTCTTTCAGTACTTTTTAAAAATATTATTTGTGGAAGTCCTGTACCTTTATTATTATAGGGTTTATTCCTAAATATTTTATATTTGGTGCTCTTTTATAAAGGGTCTTTTCTTCATTTTTCTGTTACAAGTTGTTGAAATATGAAACCTAGTAATTTCTGTGTATTAACATCAGACGTCATTACTTCACTGACTTCTCTTATTAATTGTAGTATTATATTAGTTGATTCTCTTGAGTTTTCATCTCTAATGATGGCAGTTTTATCCTCTTTTTTCCAATCCCTACGCAGCTATCGGCCAACACTCACTTCATGGGTTGGAGCTGAATCCTGCTCTCGACTCTAACAGAACTACCTCTGAGGACCTTTTCACTAAACATGATGCTGGCTTATGGGCTACGAAAGATTTATTTTGTCATATTATTGAAATAGCCGACTATTTCTATTTTGTTTTTATTTTTAAATCAACAATATATGTTGAGTCAACGAAGTCAAAAGGTGGTTCTTTAAAAACACTAAGAAGGCAACACACACACAAAAATACAAATTACCAAGAACGTAAAATAGTACATGATCCAGTTCTTACAAACATGAGAAAGAAGATATTATAAAGAAACTTAATGCTAATTTGACAATTAAAATGAAACGAACAATATCCTTGACAAACACAACCAAATAGACACCAGAACAGAAAATCACGTCTTACACATTCCTAAAAATGAATCTACTATTAAAAAATACACAAAGAAAACTCCTGAACCAGACGCCTCTTCTGTTGAATTCTTAGAGACATTTAAGGAAAAAACAGCATCAATCTTTTAAAA